GGGGGGGGGGGGGGGGGGAGGGGCGGCTGCCGCAATTGCCAGCGGCGAGGGAATGTGCTCTAATCAGCTGATAGGTATAGGAATGCAATGGTACACATGACCATGGATGGTGTTGTGGGGTAGTCCCCTGCCCCTCCCTGGGCGATAAGGATCCCCCCTCGGCGAAGATCGAGCATGCTGGCCGTGCTGCGCATTTTCGCCGTGCCTGTGGCGGCGGCAACGAGGAACTAGTTCGCCCAAGCGGGAGGGGGGGCCTGGAGGATCGGGTGCAGGCCTCCTGGCATTATCTCACCCGGGCGGGCCCACGTAGGGTGAGCATGGCGTGCGCCTCCCCCCCGGGGGAGGAGCCGGAGGGGGGCGGCGGGGCGTGGCGTCAATCATGACATTCTCCCCCCCCCCCCCCCCCCCTGAGACAATAGAGGGGGGCCCGTCGGCATAACCCGGGGGGTGGCGGCGGCGGCGGCGGCGCGGGCCCGATCGTGCTCGATGAGGCGGGACACGGGGGAGGGCGGAGGGCCGGAGGGCGGGGGGTTCCTCGGCCGATGTGCCCACGTTTCTTCGTGCGTCCGCCATGCGGCCATCGGGGGCCCGGCCGAGCAAGGACCAGTGCCGGGGCTGAGGTCGGGCCGGGCCTATCTCAGCGGCCTAATCGATCTGCCCGAGCCAGCGTGTGCGATAAGCGCCCGGGCCTCACGCTGCAGCGGTCCGGGATGGGAGCCGCACGCGAGCGTGCGCCCGGGGAGGCCCCCACCCTTCCCCTATCCCTGGCGCGGGGGGCCTCGACGCCTTGCGGCAGGCGGGGCAGGCCCGGAGCAGCGGCGGCAAGGGCGGCTGCGTCGGTGCGGGGAGCCGGGCCGAGGGGCGGCGGGAAACAAAAAGGGGACCCTCCCCGCCTGGACGCCCCGGTCAGTCGCACTTCCCCACCTGCCGCCTTCGCGCCCCCTTCGCTCGCTCGTTCGCATCAGCCCCTCCCCCCCCCCGCGCGCGCCCTCTGTCTGCCATCCCTTTTGCCCCTTCTTCCGTCCCCCGACCGATCGCACACCGCGACCCTTGGCTGCCGCCCTGCGCCGGGACAGGCCGCCGTGCGTGTGTTGCGCGCGCCGCCGATGGTGTTGCGTTACAGCTCCAGGCGCCGGCTGCTGCGCCTGGCGCAGCTGTCGGCCTTTGTCGGGCTCTTCACCGTGGTCGGCATGGTGGCCCTGCGGCGAGTCAGCAACGAACAGACGTCCCAATTCCGGCGCATCATCCAGGAGCAAGTGGCCCAGGGGAAACTGATCACCCCACTGGCCGAGGAGGAGGAGTATGTCCTCCGCCGGCGGCCGGGCGCCGGGGAGACGGAAAAAGGTGCGCGCTCGCGCGAGCCCGACCCCGCCGGGGGAGAGGCCTTTCACCGAGGCCCCAATGCCCGGCATATCAGGACGACTGACACGCTCTCGCGGCCGATGGGGCCCGTACCTGTCCCCCC